AAGGTAGAGTGCTCCAGGGATGAGGAACAAAAGGAGAGAAAATCTGAGATTACCACATAGCTTGTGGTATACTAGGTATATTGTATAAATGGTCCTAGAGGTGGGACAAAGGAGCAGAGCCTAGCCATGTGCATATGGGGCAACACTCCATGTCTCCTATATCTGAGAAAACAGAGGCAAAGACAACACAAAAACTCCTTCCATCACCACAATACCCAAAATCCTGAGATCTTGAAGAAGAGGACTTCCATGCTCACAGCTATCCATTGAATTGATCACGGGGTTCCCAATGGAGGAGTTAGAGAGAAGACTAAAGGAGCTGAAGAGGTTTGCAGCACTATGGGGAGAGCAGCAATACCAACCAACCAAAGCTCCCAGGGTCTAAACCACCAGCCTGGGAGCACATAAGGAGAGACCCATGGCTCCAGCTGCATATATAGGGGAGGATGGCCTTGAAGGGCATAGGTGGGAGAGGAGGTCCTTGTTCCCATGAAGGCTGGATGCCCCACACAGTGTGGGGGAATTCGAGGACAGGGAGGTGGGAGTGGATGGGGGTATGGGGGCACATCCCCATAGAAGCAGGAAGAAGGGGGAAGAGATAGGGGATTTCTGGAAGGGCATAATATCTGAAATGTAAGTAAAATATCCAATTAAAAAAAAGAAGAGGACTCCTGTCGCGCAGTGCTTGCGCCTAGGGATCGCGGGCTGACGGAACCGTTGCAGGATACCGGGATCAGCGGCGGCGGCTGGCATCAGCTCCAAGCCGGGCCAGGGGGGGTGGGCGAGCGGCCTCCGGGGTCGGGGGCGTGGAAGGAGCCAGCCGAGCCGGCCCAGGGCCTTCAGCAGCCGACGGGGAGGGGCTCGCTCCACAGCGGCCTCTGGTCACCCGAAAACCAGAGCAAGACCTCCGTCCCAGCCCCCAAAAGCGAGAAAGTGTTATCAGCTCTTTTAATTCTCTCCTTCCAGGAGTCACTCGTGAGAGCCCACGGAAGAAAAGTGTCTCAGCTCTTTTAGTTCAGCTCACTCTTCCCGCTAAGGGGAGAGGAGAATGTTGTCCTTTGAAGTGTGCGACTGGCGACTGGCGAGAGATCGCGAAAACACTCCAACAACAGGAGACCTTGCACCACACAGCAGTTGTCGTTTAATTTGAGCTCTAGAATTTAAATATATACAGTTTCGGGGAAAGAACAGGTAGCCCCTATTGGTTTGGCTTGGGTGTTTGAGGATGCCTTATTTGCATGGAGGTGCTATCCTACGTGATAAGGGTCACGGGTCTCTTTGTGAGAAGCAGAAGCTAAGAGGGCCACTGGCATGGAAAATCTGAAACAACCTTCTGTCCTGTGACCCTTTTCAGGCCGAGGTTTCCAGGGCTTCGAAGATTTTACCGAGCTTTCTGGCTTTCTCATAGCCCACTGCCCCACAGACTCCCATCAAACACAGTGATCAATTACGTGTATTCCTCTTCACTGAACCATGGATGCTTAATCTGGGGGGAAACTGAGACTCAACCAGATGATAACTCAAGCCTGAGGTCACTCAATCCTCCTTTCCACAAAATGTGGAGTTTAGTAGAAGAGGAATGGATATTCATCACCTTGGAGAGATTTGTATCAGACCCAAAACAACACCTTAAGTTTCTGTACATCCCATGCTCAAGCAAAGTCTCCTTCATTTTCTCTTTGAATTTTCCAAACAAGTAAAGGAAAAGAATTGTCTGATTTATAACCTCCAAATCCTGATCACTGAGGAGAGGAGCCTTGGCAGTTTAATCAGAGATAGAGGAGCACCAGGATGCTAGCCAGGAGCATCATGTATCCATGGAAATGTTTGGAATCAGGTTCATCACTGTTTCTTTAATCAAGTCTCTCTTTTGTACTTTATTCTTAGCTGTGTGTTCTGCACCTTGCAGGACTGAGCCCAGTGAGTTCCCTTCCCTTCCCAGCTGTGATTCAAGGCAGTGAGCCTTCTTCAGTGCTTAAATACTGGTAAAGGAGGTGGGGCTGACTTTACATTCAGCAGAAACACTACTGTGCCCACTCACAGTTCCGAGTTCAGTGCATTATCCACCTCCACTGTTGGCCGAGAATCATGGATGTGCCCACTTTGGTATTTTAATTCATTTGGTAGAAATATCAATGAAAAAATACAACCTGTGTTATCATTGAATCCAAAACTTTCTTATCAGAAGCTCAGGTGAAGTTATTGTCATTGACATCCTCTAGTCTGTCCTTTTGCCCAGGGCTGCTTTTATTTTGTAATACTGGAAATTCATCCAAGTGAGCTCCACCCACAAGTATTATTTTCATTCACTTCCCTCGGCCTACAATATCCTCTGCATCAGAAAGAACTCTTTTCATCCCTCAAATTCATCTTTTAAAATTCCTTCTAGTAGAATCCTTTCTCATTAACCTCATCAAAAAGTAGAAATAGTCTCCTGGACAGCCTTTATTATGGGCAGGAAACAATCCTATTTTTCTCTCTCTAAGAACATTGTTGGTTTCTACATGTGTTTTCAATACCAGGTTATAAGCTCATACAAGTCATAGTCTATCTTTCATTTCTGTCTAGCAGAATGCTTTAAGAAACGTGGCATCTAGAAAGTTTGGGTGACATTTGTCTTCTCTGTGTTCATTTATTATGAACTGACCACTTCATATTTGAGGATCATAAAAGCAAGAGTGTTAATTAGACACAGTCTCCTTCCTGATATATGCAAGCTGATCTGTCATAGAGCTGATTGCTCCATTATTTGATGTTGAAGAGATGTCTCAAGAGTTTAGAGCTTGCCATCTTTATCATTTATCTGTGATGCCTTTCCCTATCTGCATCCCCATCATGGCCTTGCATAATCCCTAGTAACTCATTCCTACAATTGTCAACACACACAAACACACATACACACTCTGGGAAGGATTAGAAGGTGTGGTCTTATTGGAAGGGGTGTGTCAATGGAGGCATATTTTGAGATATCAAAATTTCTCAACATGTAATCTGCTTCCAGGTACTCTTATTGCATCATGTGCTGCCTACTTGCTGCCATGTTTCCTGCCATGATGATCATGGACTAACACTCTAAAATTTTAAGCAAGCCCCCAATAAACTCTTTCTTTTACAGGTTGCCTTGGTGATGGTATCTCTTCACAGCAATAGTGAAGTAACTATGGCAATGCCTGTTAAATATTTTCTATAAAGCAAATGTGAAGGGAAATTAAGAACTGTTTTAATTGGGACTATGGATGTGGCTCAGTTGGTAAAATGCATGCTTAATATGGCTAAAGCACTGGGTCTGACCTGGGCGCTCCATAGTAGTAGTTGTAGTTCATGTCTAAAATCTCAACACTTGATGAGTAAGAGCAGAAGGGTTAGAACTTGAAGGTCACCACAGGTTACATAGTAAATTAGAGAACCGATCAATGGGATACATGGGGGAAATGCTAAGTGAATGTCTCAGTTGGGAAAGCATCTGTCATGTGAGCATGAGAACATGATTTTGTATCTAAAGGACCCGTATAAAAGTCAAGAATGACAATGTGTGCCTGTGGGTATACACACACACACACACACACACACACACACACACACTCATGTGCATGTAATAGACATATAAGCATGCACATAATAAAATACGAAACCTTTCTGGAACTAACACATTTTACTTTGAAAAGCTTAATTTGGTTAATTACACCTCCTGTAATGAGGAGTAATATAACTCTGACCTCTCCTATTCACCAGGAGGCCTCTAGTCTATCTGGGTGAAAGACACTTGTCATTTCTTGAGATGAAAACCAAGCCAGAATCATGGCCAATCAAAACAAAAGGTCTTAGTCTACCAAGGGTCTTAAAAGGAGGCATCCTTTTGTGAAATTTATTCTATTAGGTAATATCTTTTTTTAATACACAAAGAGTTGAGCTGCAGGCATGAATGAAGAATCTCTGTACTGGAGGTTTGTCCTGAAAATACATTTTTAAAAATTTTTTTATTGGATGTTTTATTTACATTTCATATGTTGTCCCCTTACCCCATCCCCCACCCACACAGGAAGCCCCAATCCCCTCACCCCTCCTCCTTCTTCTCTGTGGATGTAACCTCTATCTACCCCCCCTCCCACCTCTCCACCCTCAAAATTCCCACCCCCTGGGGCGTCCAGCCTTCATGAGGTCAAGGTTCTCTTCTTCCACCTATGCCCAGCAGGGCCCTCCACTCTTACATATTCAGCTAAAGCCCTGGATCCCTCCCTAAGTGCTCCCAGGCTGGTGGTTTAGACCCTGGGAGCTGTGGTTGGTTGGTATTGTTGCTCTCCTCATGGTGCCACAAATCCTTTCAGCTCCTTCAGTCTTCACTCTAACTCCTCCATTGAGAACCCCATTATCAGTTCAATAGCTAGTTGTGAGCATCTGCCTCTGAATATGTCAGACTCTTGAAGACCTCTGAGGAGACATCCATATCAGGCTCTTATCAGCATGCATTTCTTGACTTAGATAACTCATTAGTATGTAAATTTCTTGAAATGGAGGCCTATTAGTCACTCCCTCTACCTGTGTCTTATGTGACTGACAGTACAGGTTAAATGGAGATTAGATCGGAGATTAGACCACCCGTCAGGCCCTGGGATCTGGGGGCATGGCTAAACACTTGCAGTCTCGGGGTTCCAGGCCCATGCCAACCCACGAACCAAGATGCCCTTCCATGGCCCAACAGAACTTCAGGTTGAATCACCCATACATATGTAAGCAACCCTTGACCCATGATTCTGTAAGTACCCCCTTGAAAGGCACTGGCTCACTAAGCTAGACTTAGGTACAATCATTCCTTTGGTCTCTCATTAGTGCCATATCTGAAGTAAATAGTCATTCTTTCACAACTCTCTATGAAAAGTCAATACCATCATGGTTATTGACGTCTCAGCTTAGTACTTCATTGTAGTATGCTGCAAATAAAAAAGTTTGGTAAAAATTTGATCATTAGCATGACTATAAAAATGCTCACTTTCAATAATAAGTGTTGATAAAAACTAGAAATTGGTGTTTATTTTCTCATCAGAAATCAGGGTATTTCGTGGTAACAATGAAGTGGACATAGGCAGTCCCTCAAGAACCAGGGAGTTAACCATATTTACCTTAGATTTGTGTCATTACATCATTATATTTCACAGAAGATAACCTGCACAGGGGCTGAACAAGATCAAAGAACACCCAGAATCCTGCAGGAGTGCACAAAATTACTGCAATCTTCATCGCTGGATTCAATCACAATATGAATTGGTTTCTGGTCCACAGGATACAACACAACAGACCATTATAAATCATGCTCCACTTATGGTCTCATCTCTGGACACAACTTTTAGAAGGATTGGGTTTTCTGGTTGAAGAAGTCCATGTTTGCATAATTTTAAAGGGATCTGCAGCAATTAAGCAAGGAAAGGAAGCAATCAATGAAGTGACAATCACAAATGCAAAGAGACACATAAATGCTGAAAGGGTTTTGCAAGTGCGCAAACACTATGTTTCCTGCCAGAGTCCTTCTTTAGGTGCTGTCTACCTTTTTGCAGACAGGGTCTCTCACTGGCCTGGACCTCAGAAACTATACTAGGTTGGCTGCTTAGTGAGCCCCAGGAAACTACTGATCTTTGCCTTTTCAGTTTTGGGAGCTGGGAATATGAGTGCATGTCAACACACCTAGTTGATATTAAGTGGATTGGTTGATTGGTTGGTAGCTGGGTTGATTGGTTGGTAGGTGAGTTGGATGGCTTGCTTGCTTGCTTGCTTGCTTGCTTGCTTGCTTACTTGCTTTGGTTTGCATGGGTTATGGTGATTAAAATCAAGTCCATGTGCTTTGAAAGCAAGAACCTTGCTGACTGACCTGTCCCCTAAAGTCACTTAGTTTAGAAAGTTTTTTCCATTAATTTATTTATTCCTTCATTTTGCATCCCAATAACAGCCCACCCCTTCCAGTCCCCACCTCACAGAGTCTCTCCTCCCATCTCCCCTCCTCTTCTCCTCTCAGAGGGTGGAGGGCCCCTGGGTGCAAGTTTAGACAGTTTTATACTTAGGTCTCTTTAAAGCAATACATATAACTCTAAAACTGAAATACTCAAACTCTTCAATAGATGTTGCAAAAAAAAATCCTTAAATCAAAATGCTTTTCTGCAAATCAATACCCCAATTTAAAAAGCAAAACTCCCATAAAAATAAAGCTTACTGAAAATTCACACTGACCTGAGTTTCCTTACAAGGTTGGAAAGAGAAGTTCTGCAGGACTCTGACAAGAGCAACTTTCATGTTTATGAGAGCAAGCCTCATGCCAATGCAGTTCCTGGGTCCATTCCCAAAGGGCAGGTACACGTAAGGATTGATGCTGTCCTGATTCTTCTTGCTGAACCTGGTCTCACATGAGTAGAGGAAAGCATGTTACTGAAGTATTAATGAAGTGTAACAGACACTTGTGTGGTATCTCTTAGTTACCCACAAGCAGTAGTAGAAAGGATGTTTGCATGGACTGATTGTGAAAATTCTGGTATGACTTTTAGAGTTTCTCGATTGCATACAATGCAAGGTGGTCATTTTACCACTCTCATATTAACTTCTCATATGCATGCTCTCACCAACATCTCTTCTTTCCAACTTGCCCCACACTCATTTTCATGTCTATTTTGTACAAGTCTTTCACAGGCAGTCACAGATTCTGTGTGTTCATGATGGCGATAGCCACATTCTAGCTAGGAGACACTATTAGCACACCTCCCCGATTCTTTAGCTCCCCCAGTTTTTCCATTATGTTCCCTGGGCCTCAGAGTGGGTGATATGCCACAGGAATTATGCATTACAAGTCTTCCTCTTGTTTTACCATGGAGAAGCTTTTCGGTCATGTTGAGGTGATATCAGTACTGTTCAAAAGAACACTTACCTTAAAACCTGATCATTGCATGTAGAGTGATATAACTATTCTATGAGACATAAGAAATGAGGCCAATTGAGCAAAAGTATGTGATTGGCTGGACTAATACTCACAGAAGTCAGAGGATAAAGTCAGAGTATTCAGTGCCAATACTGAAATTGTTTTCCTTTCTCTTCTCTCTGTTATTCTCTTTTCTCTTTTCTATTTTTTGTTTTCTACTTTCTTCCTCTTATTTCTCTCCCATGTATGCTTCCCTTCCCTTTCTCCCACTTCTCTCCATCTCTCATTCTGTTCCTTCCAACTTCCCATCTTTCCTTCCTCCATCCTTCTCTTTCCTCCCTTTCTTTCTTTCTTTCTTCCTGGTCCTTTTTCGTTTCTTCCTTCTCTCATTTTTTTTCTTGCTCTTCCCTTCCTTTTTAACTTGATAACTTAAGTCAGGTAATTTACAAAGGTATGCAATGCTACTCATAATCATTAATTTATCTCTCTGTGTGTTTCTTTGGGTATAAAAATCTGAGTGGACAAAAGAAGTTTATTCAAATTAGATACATGTAAATGATACTTAGGAGAAAAACACTGCTTTATGGAAAAGTGGCAATTGCAGTGTGACCATGGATACTTTTTCTTTTTTTTCTTTTTTATCTTTTTTTAAATTTTTAATCTAATCTTTTTTACAGTCCATATTTTGTTCCCCTCCCAGTCTACCCTCTGACTGTTCCACATCTATACCTCCTCTCCCCATTTCCACAAAGAAGTTCTTACTCCCTACCCCCACCTCAGCAGACCTCCCCAATTCCTGAAGCCTCCAGTCTCTTGAGGGCTGGGTGTATCTTCTCTAACTGAGTCCATTTTGAAAATTCTGATGAGTATTAGAGTATTGTAATTTCAAAAACTTAATGAGGGTTATGGGTATATGTGAATTAACACCATGTATGGGTGAATGGTTTCTGGTTACATAGAATTGCCTTAAAAGTGCTCTGGGTACTGATTTGTTACTTTGTCAAACATTTTCTGTTGTAGAAATTTATCACAACATAATGATTTATCATAGTTTGGAGTAGTCCTTCATGTACACTAAACACTTATTGTGTTGTTTCATTATTAAATGAATGTAACAGAAGTACAATCATGTGTGTCACAAAAAGATATAGGAAGTGGGATTGCTGGAACTGGAGAGAACACAGAAGTCACCTGGTCTAGAAGACAGAAGAATTTATGAGCTCTAGTTAACTTCTTCAGCAAGTACTATACATAGAGACTTAATGGTGTCAAAATTGCACATCCTGGCCAACAACATAAGATGTCAGAAATCAGGAGATGCACATTAGAAGCAAAGACTGCATAGATCCTGGGCCTTTAGGCTTGCCAGTCTCTGCACAAAAAAAAAAAAAAAAAAAAAAACCCATTCTTTATTTTGTTTGCCAATACAACAACTAGAGTGTAAAGCTGTGACTGAAGTTTGATCTTGGCTCCAGTTTTCCAGAAAAGCCATTTTGAACTATCTCTGAAGCAGGATGTCTCAGACTTCTAGTCAGAAAGCGACATGGTTTTGGAAAAGTCAGATAGGCCCTTAGGTGATACCATTACAGCCACACTGGAGGACCCAGGTGGCAGTCTAGTCAAAAAGAAAATGTAAATAATCTCTAAAGATAATAGGCTGGGCAGTGGTGGTGTATGCCTTTAATCCCAGCACTTAGAAGGCAGAGGCAGGCGGATTTCTGAGTTTGAGGCCAGCATGGTCTACAGAGTGAGTTCCAGGACAGCCAGGCTTACACAGAGCAACCCAGTCTCAAAAAAACAAAAAAGAAGAAAAAGAAAAAGAAGGAGGAGGAGGAGGAGGAAGAAGAAGAGGAGGAAGAAGAGGAGGAGGAGAAAAAGAGGAAGAGGAAGAGGAAAAGAAAGAGGAAGAGGAAGAAGAAGAAAATAGGAGTGGTTGAAGGAAGAGCAAGGAAAATCTAGGAATGAAAAGTCTAATGTATAAAATAAAATCATACTGAGAGCACTGGGATAGATGCTACTCTTGCCTTAAAAGTTTGAATAGTTAAATGAATAGATAAATAGATGATAACCAGAAACACAAACTGTTATTGCTAATCATGTGTCCTCAACACCAGGATACGACACATCAAGAATGGACTAGACTTGGTCTGGGTAGTTTCTCTTTCTCACATTCTTGTACCTTTCAGGGCGGAATTCCTCAGGCTCTGGCCAGTACTTTGGGTCTTTGTGAAGAGCAAAGGTTGGTACCATCACCACAGTCCCTTTGGGAATGAACACCCCATTGATTTCGACATCTGTCTTACAGACCCTCTCAAGTCTTCCAGCAATTGGGTATAATCTGAGAGTTTCATTCACCACCATGTCTAGATACTCCATTTGTAGCAGGGTATCATAGGTGGCAGGTACCTGTAAAGAGAGACAGAGTTTTCATCAATTAAGTAAACCAACTTTCATCTATGGAGAACTAAGTTGTTGCACTTCCCAAGAAAAACTCACATTGGGAAGGACTTTAGCACTTACAAATTACATTAATAACTGATATACTTTAACATGCTCAATGCATCTTTAATAAATGTAGGATAATTAGGAAATACTAAAAGTCTTTGTGACAATCCCAAACCCAGAACGTGAAAACATCAGACTTACTATATATTACATTTTTTAATTTGAAGAACCATAACTAACATATCATGATAATTAGAGTCACAAAAATTTAACATACATGGTTATAATTCCACATGTGTACTTGAAAGTATTATATACAACATAGGAAGAGAACAAATGCCTATTGTATTTATTTGAAATTATCCTATATTGCCATTCTTTTAATTATATATAAAATTTGGAAGCATTGATAGGATAAAATTTTAGATGATCTGTGGAGATAATAGTCTAATTTGTATTAAATTGACAAAAGACAAATACAAGTCATTGCTACCATAGTGCTCAATTTCAACCTTGGGAGAAGTCATAATGAAAACAGGATCCATCATTCAATCCCACTCTCTATCACTGGTCCAGCCTTCTGGTTGTTCATTCAGGGCTTGCCTATGAGCTCTGAAGAGAATGATAAGCCAGATAGACCACCCCACAAACCAGATAACCTCACAGCCTAGTTCAGGCAGAATTATAAAGACCAATGTGTAAAACTTGTGACTATGACTATATTAGATTTTTGGATAGACTCAGGGGTCAGCTATGAGTTGAGAGAGATGTGTAGGGCAACACTAAATCAATCTGCCTATCCTAGTCCAGCCAAGGCTAGTCACAGTCAGGCAACAATCAGTACAGTGCATGACAACAACAGAGCTTACTGTCAAGACACTTGACTAACCAATGTTCACATTTTCATATCTCTGTGATTTTGTGGATGTTTCTTGGTAGTTTTGTGACAATCTATCTCAACATTTGCCTACAATGTTATTTTCACAAAAAGCATCACCCAATGTCTGCTTCTCATGTTTTTCTCTTTTCAGAAACCCTAAATAAAGATGGTGAGGGATTCAATGCTTAAAACTTTGTTGAAAATTTCTCCCTGTGTGGGTTAAGTAACCATTCATACCAATGCTTTTCCTCTTCCCTTCCTCCCTCCCTAGGCCCCATCCTCTCACCTTATTGGACAGAGTTGCATCAATTTCATCCTGCAGTTTCTTCTGTACATCAGGGTGAATGGCCAGCAAATACGAAGCAAAGGAAAGAGCACTGCTAGTGGTCTCATAGCCAGCAAAAATAAAGTTAATTGACTGAGCCACAATCTCCACATCAGATAATGCTAGTGGGAAAGAAAACTATTTTATTTTATTTTATTTTATTTTAATTTATTTTGTGTGTGTGTGTCTGAGTGTGTGTATGTCTGTGTCTGTGTGTGTGTGTGTGTGACAGAGAGACAGACAGAGAGAGAGAGAGAGAGAGACAGAGAGAGAGAGAGAGAGAGAGAGAGAGAGAGAGAGAGAATACTATAGCATTCTTGTGGGGTCAAAAGACAACTTGCAGGAGTGACTTCATTTAGGTCTTGCTTGGTGTTTAAACTCAAGTCTTTGGTTTGGCAGCAAGTGCCTTTATCTTATGAATATAGCTTACCAATATTGCTGGCCCATGAGATACATTTTAGGTATTACTCAGCTATTAAAAACAATGAATTCATGACATTCTTAAGCAAATGGATGGAACTAGAAAATATCATCCTGATTGAGATAACCCAATCACAAAAGAACACACATGGTATGCACTCACTGATAATTGGATATTAGCCCATAGCTCACAATACCCAAAATACAACTCACAGACCATATGAATCCCATGAAGAAGGAAGACCAAAGTATGGGTGCTTTGGTTCTTCTTAGAAGGAGTAGCAAAATACTCATGGGTGCGAATATGGAGACAAAGTATGGGACAGAAACTGAAGGAGGGGTTGTCTCGAGACTGTTCCACCTGAGTATCAATCCCATGTGCAGTCACCAAAAGTAGATGCTGATGTGAATGCCAGGAAGTGCATGTTGACGGGAGCGCAATATAGCTGTCTCCTTAGAGGTCTGCCAGAGCCTGACATATACAGAGGCAGATGCTCACAGCTAACCATTGAATTGATCATGGGGATCCCAAAGGAGAAGTTAGAGAGAAGACTGAAGAAGATGAAAGGGTCTGTGGTCACATGGGGAGAGCAACAATACCAGTCAACCAGAGCTCCCAGGGTCTAAACCACCAGTTTGTGAGCACAAAGGGAGGGACCCATGACTCCAACTTTATATGTAGAGGAGGATGGCCTAGTCAGGCATAGGTGGTAGAGGAGATCCTTGGTCCTGTGAAGGCTGGATGCCCCCGTGTGGGGGAATTTGAGGACGGGGAGGTGGAGTGGGTTGGTGGGGGCACATCCTTATAGAAGCAGGAGGAGGGGTGAGATAGGGGGTTTCTGGGTGGGGGAAAATGAGGAAAGAGGATAACATCTGAAATATAAATAAAATATCCAATTCGAAAAGGGGGAAAAAACAAAAAAAATCATTATTTACACTAAAAACAACCCAACTAATATCTCAAATCCCTAAAAAGATCATGAAAAAGCAATTCAAAGTCACATTGCAGGGGGATTCATTCTAAGGAATTGAAATGGGAAAGTCATTTTGTACAGTTTCCTTAAGGTCTACACTCCTCTTGACCATCTCTGCATTCTGACATCCTCAATATCTCCACAGCTGAGAAATCTCAAGAGGAAGCATTTCTGTGTAATGTACACAGTTTTCTTCAGTATGCCCATAGATAACTAGAAATATATACCTTGTTTTGTTCAATTTAAATGTTACCTCTTTTTAAGAATTGAAATCATAAATGCTCAATTGCTAACAGGCTGGTACAATATTTTTTAGCTTTCAGTCTGTTCCATTTTAAGTTTTTTGTTAAGTTTTATTTTATTTGAATGTGTGTGCATGAATATGTGCACTCATACACATAGTGGGTATGTCCTACACATACCCACTATGTGCACCCACCCACCCAATGTGACCTCCCCATCCTCAATTTCCCCCACACAGGGGCATCCAGCCTTCACAGGACCAAGGATCTCCTCTACCACCTATGCCTGACTAGGCCATCCTCTACATATAAAGTTGGAGTCATGGGCCCCTCCCTTTGTGATCCCAGGCTGGTGGTTTAGACCCTGGGAGCTCTGGGTAGGTGGGTATGCAAGTGGATAGGCAAGTGAATGTAGACAAAGACTCAAAACAGGACTTCTTGCATCTCCCTTCATCATTCTGTCATTACTTTGGGATAGGGTTTCTTACTGAACTAAAATCTCATCATTTCAGCTAGTTTGGCTGGCCACTGAGCTCTGGGGCCTTCTGTCTCCATTCTCCAATTTTGTGGCTATACATGTAGCCATGACCTCAAGCTTAGTTTTTGACAGATTAATTTAATTTTTCTTAAGGGAAAATTCTATCATCTATTTTACTTAGATGAAAAAGCTTTCTCAGGGTGAGGGAAATGGTCCAGTGAGTAAAAGGATTTGTTCTGTATACATGGGGACTTTAGTTTGAATTCCCAGCACCCACATAAAAACCTTGAAATGTTTTGAATGAGTATGCAATAGAAAAGCTTGAGTGTACAGAACATGAGCATATCCATGAGATATATCTGTCTTAAGAAACCTGGGGCAACAGGGCTCAAAGTTTGGTGTATGGACCGATAGCAACAACTGGAAGGTTCTTGGTAGTGTCAAAAGCACTGCACAGGAAGATAGCCTTGTCGGAAACAGGTGGGAGAGGAAGTCTTTTGTCCGGTGAAGGCTGGATGCCCCAGTGTGGGGGAATTTGAGGGCGAGGAGGTAGGAGTGAGTGGGTGGGTGGGGGCACATCCTCACTGAAGCAAGAGGAAGGGTTTCTGGTTGGGGGGGGAATGGGGATAACATCTAAAATGTAAATAAAATATCCAATAAAAAATTAATTTAAAAAACACCCCACATATCCCTGGTCAGTATCTGAAATTTCAAGTGCTGTAGTATTTATATGCATAATCTATTGAACAAGCAAGTAATGCTAGTCTTTAAATTTTGAAACTCAGAAATTAGGGGAGTTACAAAGGAACAGGAATAGCCATGGAGTATTGAGTGATGGGCTGGAGAAATAGCTCAGTCTATTAAGAGTTTAGGCTCTACTTGCAAAGGACCTGAGTTCAGTTGTGGGCAGCTCAAACAACCTGTAATTCCAGCTCCAGTGGATCTGATACCCAACTCTGACCTCCCAGACACCTAAACTCATACATTCTCACAGACACACAGACATACACTGATATAAATTAGAAAATAATTCTTGTATTTAAAGGGTAATGACTAACAATATTTTGATAAATATATCCTCATTAGAGAATTTTTGAAGATAATCTCAAATGGAAGAAACCTCACCAGCAACTAGACTGACTCTGTGGAGTGCTGTACCATGACACTGTGAACTCAAGCCCTGTACCACAAAACCCAGGCTTTTGACTAAGGCTGAACTTAGACCAAGCAGAACTGTCTTTATGTGTTTGATCCTTATTTGCATGGCTCTTCTTTACAAGGCAGGGATTACAACAAAAATTACATGCACAATGACTCATGTTAACTTATTTTAAAGTATAAACTACCCAGTCAAGTATAAACTTGCCCATAATCATATGGTATGAATCATATGCAATGAAACTATACATAATGACATTCATAGTCCAAGTTCTTTAGAGTGGAAACTCCCTCAACACATTAACCTGTGCTTCAGACAGGACTCTAGTTACTTCACATCCCCTCTTACCCCCTTACAATTCACTCAATAAATTAACTATTCTTCCTTTTTGGTCCAAATGGTGAATTTATTCACTCCCGATTTTTCCTCACTGCCATTGACAGAGAGAGGGTGAAACAAAGAGAGAGGGGGGGGGGCAGACTCAGAAACACAAAGACACACAGAGAGAATGAATACAGGAGATTATATCATTGAATGTGAATACAGAAATTTATTTTTCCAATCCCATAGGCCACTTAAATGTCAGTTAAGCACAGAGGCCTTGCATGCAATTCCAGCCTCAAAAGGCAGAGATAGAGAATTACAAGAGCAAGCTGGCTAGTGAGACTATCCAAATCTGTTAGTTCTGAGTTTCATTGAGAGACCCTGCTTCCAGGATTAAGATAGAAGAGTACTCGAACATGATCCCTGACATCTGGTCTAGGCCTCCATAAACATGCACACATCTGTGGGTCCATACACCATCAAACATGTAGATACATATTCATATCACACACACACACACAAATACACATATGCACATACACACAAACACACACAGACACCACTCTACCTCTCATGGTGCCATTCTGAGCCACTGCACTCCTCCTTATCATGGGTTGTAGGAACTGAACACAAATTCTCACATTGGCAAGGCAAGCACATTACCCACTGAACCATCTCTCCCTCACCCAAAGCTCTTTCTTGATCACGTTGACTAATGGCAGTACTGGGCAAAAAAAAAATGTTTTTCTATGTTCCATGGATTTATACTTCATTTTCATAATTTTGTCCATGGAAAGAATTCTAGGTTCCCAGAAAATAATTACATCTAGGTCCCATGTCTCATATTGGGAGTTGAAATTTCATTTCACGGGGCCCGAGCATAGAGTAGGTCGCAGGCGGCAGCTCCGTACTCAACCCCAGAAAACCGAGAGAAACAGGGACTCCCAGGAGCTTGAACTCACGCAGCATCCCAGGTAAGGTAAAAGCAACACTCTCCCCAAACAAGGAGCAACCGGGACCCACTGGGACCCAGGAATTCGCTCCTGGCCCGGGGCGGGCTCCATCCGGTTTGGGCCCGAGCACTCACAGATCCCGGGAGGCAGCTCTGCACCCAATCTCGCAGATTCCAGAGGAAGCGGGGCTCGCAGGACCTCTGTACCAAGCAGGGTCTTGGGCTAGGAGGTGGCAGTGCTTGCTCCCAAACAGGGAGCAGCTAGGACCCACTGGGACCCAGGAATTCGCTCCTGGCCCGGGGCGGGCTCCATCCGGTCTGGGCCCGAGCACTCACAGATCCCGGCAGGCAGCTCTGCACCCAATCTCGCAGAATCAAGAGGAAGCGGGGCTCACAGGACCTCTGTGCCAAGCAATTTCTTAGGCTAGGAGGTGGCAGTTCTTGCCTCCAATCAGGGAGCAACTGGGACCCACTGGGACCCACTGGGACTCACTGAGACCCAGGAATCCTCTCCTGACCCGGAGCCCAGGCCCCTTCCGGTTTCCACCTGAACACTGAACACATCTTGGGCCT